GACTTTGGGATGGACCTGGCTGCCTGCATTGAGCTCATTGAGAAGGTGTGTTGATTACATTTAAGATTTAGTTTCCTTCTTCATGACAGAATTTCAGGATTTTTCTTTAGCCTTACTTTTTCTTGCTCTAATGCTTCACAAACCTATCTATTATTATCCATTTATGTTCCTGGCTCTTTCTATTTGAAGTGCCTTTTTATTTCAAATATTGCATGTATTCTGAAAGTATGATTAGGCTACAAATGAAGTACTTTTAGGTTATCCATTAACTGCACTGCTACGCATTTTAAAAAAGCTAACTGTAATTTTTCTTGTATGGCAATAGAAGAATTAATGCAATCACACATAATTGGATGACAAGGATTCTCCGTAGGTGTGTTTTCTAGACTACAAAGATGAAAGATCTCTTTTGAGGAATCTAGACACAATTTCAATATTATGATTTCCATATTAATACTATGATTTCTGAAACATAATTTCTAAGAAAAATAATAGATGCATATGGGAAAAAAGTACTGATTTAACAGGGATCAATAAAAACACCACTATAAGCAGACGCTGTTTCTGTGCAACATCCTCTTGTATAGGAACAGAAAGACAGATATATTGCCAAAAAAACAAGAGTAGGACGTAGCTGAAAGATCTGTTAATCTGTGGCAATAAGGTCAATTTTAGTAAGACACCTTTGACTATACAAATCACCTCGTGAAAATGCTAATTAAAAAAAAAAAATCATCTTTCAATTCATCAGTTTCAAAATTAGTCAGAAAATGTTGTTTGATTATTGTGACACTACCAGTCACAAAATGCATTAGTCAGACACAAATTCACATTTTTTCTGGAACCAAGAGTGCAAAAGTTGACAAAGATTTGACCCATTTTTTATCCAAAAATTCCATCAATTTCTCAGTTTCCTGTGTCTCCCTGCAGTCTCCTTCTGAAGGCAGATCTGTATTTGATCACTGTTATTTTTTGCTGCTTCCCTCAGCCCATGGGCATCTTCTCCATCCTGGAAGAGGAGTGCATGTTCCCCAAGGCAACTGACACCTCCTTCAAGAACAAGCTCTATGACCAGCACCTGGGCAAGTCCAACAACTTCCAGAAGCCCAAACCTACCAAAGGCAAGGCTGAGGCCCACTTCTCCCTGGTGCACTACGCTGGCACAGTGGACTACAACATCTCTGGGTGGCTGGAGAAGAACAAGGACCCCCTGAACGAAACTGTCATTGGGCTGTACCAGAAATCATCTGTGAAGACCTTGGCCTTACTATTTGCCTCTGCTGGGGGAGAGGCAGGTCAGTTCTCTGAAATGTCATCTCTTTGATGCACAGCGACTGATCCCCAAAGCAACAGATTTTATCTTCATTATCTTCATTTTATCAGAGGCCAGTAGTGGTGGTGGTGGTGGCAAGAAAGGTGCCAAGAAGAAGGGTTCTTCTTTCCAGACTGTCTCAGCTCTTTTCCGGGTATGTAAAAAATTCTTTTCATTTATGCAAAGAGTTATTCTGCATTTTTAACTGGTTCAGACATGGTAAAAAGCAAAATACCCCAACCAATCGACCAATCAAAAGAGATTCCAAATACATATGACTTCTCTTTAGACCATCATTAAAAATAAAAATAAAAATATTATGGAATTAAAAATAGCTCTGTAAAGATCTAAACTTGCGCTCACTGTAAACATAAATTTCTCATAAAAAGTGCCCACTTTCTTCATTGGTTTAATACTTATCCTAGAAGATGATGTTTAATGTTCAGAATCAGAGGGGATTGAACTATTGATTGAGGTATTCTCAGCTGACAACTTTCAGCCTCTCCATTGACAGGCCTTTCATGCTAAGTTCAAACAACAAGAAGGGTCATTTTTTCCACATTTCTTACACATACTCACTAAGTGATGAACCCACAGGAAAACCTGAACAAGCTGATGACCAATCTGCGGAGCACTCACCCCCACTTTGTGCGCTGCATCATCCCCAATGAGACTAAAACACCTGGTAAGATGCTCAAGTAGGAAGAGGGTTTGCTCTGACATCCATTCCCCTCCACACTGGAATCTGTGCCATTCCTTTGTGCTCTGCTCTGCCTTGCTCAGGTGCCATGGAGCACGAGCTGGTGCTGCACCAGCTGCGCTGTAACGGCGTGTTGGAAGGGATCAGGATTTGCAGGAAAGGGTTCCCCAGCAGAGTCCTCTATGCTGACTTCAAACAGAGGTAAGAGTTATCAAATTAAGAGTGTCAGGTGTCCTCACCGACCACTGTCCGTCACGCAACTGAGCTTTGCCAGA